CAATTCATGTTAAGGAACATTAGGATTAATACAGTACATGTAGTATAATTTTAGGAACATTAATATCAATTATGTTTTATGTAATTTTAATAACTGCATTGTTCTTGTCAATATTTGGTGAGAATTGTTCACAACTGAATTTTAGCCAGTATTTTTTACACATAATGTCCAGATATATTATTGTACTGTTTCAGGACTTTTATACTCACTTTTGCCATGCCAAGATAAAAAGTCATTCATCATTAGTCTGTATCCATCTATTTGATCATTTGTTCCAAGGTTGTAATATTCTGTATGGTTTACTGAGCATATCAAGTCACTCCAATATGCCCAGAATACAGCTACAAGAGTGATCGAAAAGTTATGTCAGTGGAGGAGATGTTAATGGGCATGATGGGACTAGGAAATCTACATCATGGTACATTATTTCATCATCAGAATCTTTTCTTAAAAACTCTACAAATAAATAAAGTATAAAGAGTAAGATGAGAGTAAGATGAGAACTATCATACTTGCATTGGCTTCAAATAGCAATGATTGTCAGAGTTTATTAAATAAACCTATGCCTATCTTTATTTGTTTTAGTCTCATTTACAGTTATGGCATTGTGTTCACATTTTTGCTTAACTCAACTGGTAAATAAATTACAGTTTTTAAAAGTCAATTTTCTTCATAAAGTTACCAGTTACTATTTGCACTGTTTTATTTCTAAACTAGCTCTGAAAAACCTTTTGATATTTGTTGTAGTTGCTTTTTAATAATATTGTAACTTGAAATAATGCTATTGATATACTAGATGGTACTTAAACCTTAGTTTTGTAGTAACAAACTTTTTAAATGATTAAATCCACACATTGTATTTTGTATCAAATTTATTCTTATTGTGTGTTTCTCATGGATCATGTAAATAGGTATTTATGCCTTTTGGAATTCCATAAGAAAATTAAAGGGCATCAATGCCTTTAAGTTATTCATAAGAGAACTAGCATGGAGTTTTGTTTATTTAGACTGGGGAAATTTCATCGATTTCCAGGTAATTCTGGTATTGGTATATTGACTTGGGCTGAATCAGGTTAAGGGATTTAAAGTGTGGAAAATATTAGCCAATCAGAAAAAAAATGTCCAAAAACCATGGACAATTTGTTGAGGTTGCCAGGTTTAGCCACTTTTATAATAAAAAACTGCTGCA